CAAAAAGACAAAAAGACAAAAAGACAAAAAAAAAAAAAAGAGTTTAAATACAAGTTATTAAAGAGAAAAATTAAATATTTTAAAAGCATTAGAATTATGAAAGAAGAAATCAAGATTGCTAACAATATGTTGTCTAGAGAACTCAACCAATTTGGGATACCTTTCGCTTCTAAAAAATAGACGGTAATTTTAGGCTCTCCTTTCTTTGAAAATAAAAAAGTAAAATTAGTCTATCTTTTGAAACTAAGACTTGATATAGATTACTGTCACGTCCTCTTTCATACGACAAAAACTGCAAGTTAACACAGACTCACAGTCTGGGGAGCATGGTGCAGTGACCAAAACCTAGAAACCTGGAACCCAGTGTAGATATGACTTGAACTAGCCATGTGACCCCGGGCAAGCTATTTCCTCAACTTTACAAGTGAAAAAACAGAGGCCTGCATGGAAAAAGTTTTTCTCTCTGAAGTCCCACAACTATGCTAAAAGTCAGTAAATCCCAGAGGGATCTAACCCTCTTTCAACTTGGGCAGAGTAATACCATGGCATGGTACAGACCACACGGTACAGAAAGGACCACAGAGTGCAGACCACAGGATATATCAGTATGAACTCGTGGATATTAATTACATTCTTTGTTTTATAATCCAATACTATAACTTTTAATTTTGTTGCTCAAATTATTCCAGCTTTGCCCATTGGGAACTTTTGCAGAGTCCTGTGTCCTTTTGACATGTTTCATTCGTCCATTCATTCATTCAGCACTTCCTTACTTTTCAGCATTATAAAATGCTCTAGGCTCACTTCATATTTTCCTTTTCCCAACCTAGATCTACCATCTCTCCAAGGAGCCTTGGTTCTTTTTTTTTTTAATTGGAGAATGATGTTTAGGAGTCACAATCTGGGTGATAGGTATTACTTGTTAATACTGGGGTGTTTCTGCTTCTCGGCTCTATCAGCCAAAGAAGCTAGGAAATGTGTGTCTACACATTAACCCATGTATATTCACATCTACATTACTTCTATATCTCTGTGTGTGGATATGTATGTATGAGCGTATTTTGTGTATGGTTCATTCTAGCATTGTACCCTTGATTATTTTTAACTACTTTGACAGTGAGAAACCTGGCTCTCGCCTGCAATATATCTAGTTATTTGTTCAATCCTACTACACACAGTAGTTTCAGAATTGCTCAACTGTACCCCCATGAGAAATAAATTTAACAACCAGAGTACAATGTTTGCAAATAAAAAGGAGTATTTTTAATGCCATGTGTACCCATGTACTCCTTTTTGGATTTTTGGATTTCCTTGTTTACATTTCCTTTGTTTAAATGTTCTCTACCTTCATTTTGGTCAATATTTCTTAAATTGTAGGTACCTAGTTTATTTCTCAGGATTAGAAAAACCCTGGAAGGTCATCCCTGGAAAATACTGATCTGGTAAAGTGACTACGTTTGAACAGGTTCAAGTTAATTCTCCACATTCTCTCTACCTTCTCTACTACTAATTGCTGTAAGAATTCAAAGCCAATTATTATATGATCATCTGATACAGCTACAGGAATACAATTTGAAACTGAAGGAACTGCAACTAGAATATTTTCTGTTCCCCCCACCCTTCAAGTCTTCCTAGGATCCATTTTACATTATTTCTACACATCCTTTTATCTATTTATACATACTGCCTTTGAGTTCTGATTTACCCTGGCTTCGTTTACTCTTCCTAAGAACACTTAACTTATTAACATGAATATCTCAATCACTATATTTTTTTTTTGTCTTTTTCGTGACCGGTAAGGGGATTGCAACCCTTGGTGTGGTGTCACCCGCACCGCGCTCAGCCAGTGAGCACACCGGTCATTCCTATATAGGATCCGAACCCGCGGCGGGAGCGCAGCTGCGCTCCCAGCGCTGCACTCTCCCAAGTGCGCCACCAGGCCGGCCCCTCAATCACTATATTCTAAAGAGCTTTTTATTTGGAAAAAGAAAATCTAGTTACCAATTACCTGTTTTTCTTAGAAGCACATTATATCTTACTTCCAAACATAGCTACATCCTGACTGTCAACTGCCAGCTTTTCCTAACCAAACTGTTGTACCTCCTCCCTACCTTCCTAGTGCCATTTAATGAGAATCAAACAATTTTTTTAAAATGGCCTACTAAGTTTAGACCATTTAAATTAGGTGAAAAGCACAGAAAGAATGACTACAGTTCTCTAATTTTTTATGAAGGTTCTAATTTCAAATATTCTGTTTTGTTAACCACTCTATCAAGTATTCATATATTTATCAATCTGTTCATACTGGTATTAGGCTCAAAAAACTATGACAACCACAGCCATGGAAAAACAGACCAAAAAAGTTGAGGAGAGAGAAAAACATTAAAAGAATGAAAGAAAAAATAATGAGTTTAGGTTATATCTGATCTATAGTAAATATGCATATTCTATAAACATGTATATTTTATACTTTACATGAATATTTAGAAACTAAACAGAAAAAATTAACCTACCAGGTTTTGGAAACCATCTCTACTTAGGAAAATTTATTCTAAAAGTAAACTTCATCTAAATAAGCAAAATAAAACATTATAAAACATAATTTTCATGACAGTATATGATAAAGCAAATATAATAAACTATATATTTACAGTTACAAATATATAGTAAATTGTAGAATCTAGATAATGGACATAGGGTGTTTACTTTGTAATCTTTCAATCTTTCTGTATGTTTTTCAAATATGTATTTCATAAAATATATTTCATAAAATATTGGGAAAAGATGGAGATGAAAACTACAACTATCAAAAATCGAATTAAGCTTTACTACAGTGGATATACATTTATGTAAAAATCAGAGGGCTATAAATTTGAAAGGATTTATACTCTCTGAAAGGTTAAAAATGTCAAGTCGGAGTCATTAGGACAGGCTCTGATTCCGAAATTCCTGTTATGCTGCAAATTATTCTTGGCTATTATCACAACCCTGGTAGTTTCCTTTGTTTTCATTTAATAAAATCCCAAATTAAAGAACAATATTAGATATTATTTTGGGTATTTACCTGGATTAGGTAGTCCTAAACTATCATAGCCAAGATTTCAGTTCCCAAAGAGAGCAAATAAAGGTAACAGTGGACTGATGTTTTATCTGAATGTTCAATTCGTTGCCAGTACACTCCTTACAAAGTTTTTGAGAGGATTAAAGACTTGTCAAACACCTAGTTGAGCATCTGGCCCACAGCAGGTACTCAAAGAAGTTAGTTTCTGCTGCTTTTCCTCATCAGTTTTCAATTCTTGTAAATCCCTCCTCCTCTAGTATCAGGTTGGTTGCACCTTACCCAAAAAAAGAAAAAGAAAAAATATACAAGTATATGTCATTTTTGGTGGGTCCAGATCTCACCATTAAATCCAAAGTGGATTTCACCTCAGTAAATGGACTCCATGTAGTATTAAGAGGGTAACTGCAGGTTGCAAGGCAATCTCACAGGACACAGGATTTGGTCATCTAACTTTCTAAGACTATTTGGTGGCCTAAAGCTCAAAGTTCTCTCTACTGTTTTTGATTACTACAAAAGATTTAACTAATTTTAAAAAAATACTTTACATGCTGAATTGCACTGAAATATAACATGCTCACTGTAGGAAATAGGAAAAATATAAAAAAGAAACCAACTCTAATTCTACTATGCTAACTGATTATTTTTAATGATAAAAGCTGGTCAACTTTTACCCAGTTGGTTATGTAGAGGAAGAGTACCTTAATGACCCAAGCACTGTTTTTACATGGTACCTTATTTAATTCTCCAATATACACTGTTCTATCATATGATAACCCACAATGAAATTAATCAATTCCCCTACATTGGACATTTTGTTTTTCACATTCCCTAAAACCAGAACACTAAATACTTTTGATTATCCATTCCTGTTTTGGTTTTGTATTGTATTTCATTAAGATGATACTGTATATTCAATTCTGCACACAGACAAACTCACTCTGGAAAATATTTCTAATTCAACATACTTGATAAAAGCACACTTCACATTGCCTCTTAGGGGACTGGAGATGCTCCTCTATTACTGTACTAAAAGCTGAGGACAAAGGAGAGCAAAAAGGGATTTGTCAATTTTAATGTCATGAATCTTGAAAGAAAATTAAATGGGAAATAACCTGGCTGAAATTAATAAAACTTCCTATTATATGATCTTTAGTATGGAAGGGAATGAGTGACACAGGGATTATATTGCTGCAATTGTTGACCTCCCCAAAGAATCTCTTGAAAGAAAATTAAATGGGAAATAACCTGGCTGAAATTAATAAAACTTCCTATTATATGATCTTTATTATGGAAGGGAATGAGTGACACAGGGATTATATTGCTGCAATTGTTGACCTCCCCAAAGAATTCTGAAGACTGAAACTTTTCTGATGAAAAAAATTATATATAAAACTATTTTTCTAAACAGTGAAATACTTTCTAATAGTGAAATACTTCTAAACTACCAGATATGAATATAATTCATAAACTAATAAGTCTGCTTGTTTCTGAAGACAAAGTATATTTTTTGTGCAGCAGTATTTATATGTGACAGCATGACTATCATTCTTCAAAAATATGCATGAATTCAAGAGAATACTGATGCAGAATATGTGAGAACAAGCTTGGCTACAGGTGAACTCAATATATTTATTAAATATATTCTATTTTTAAGCAAGTGAAGAATGAGGAAAATTAATAAGATTATTTGTATAGCACGTAATGTATGTAGAAGCATACAGGCACTTAAAAGTATGCCTGCAGAACCTCACCTAATCGTTTTTATCTAAGTTAAAATTAAAAGGCACTATTAGAAAACACCAGTGATATCAATTAAACAGCACAGAATATATCTGGCAGGATTAAAAGAGTGGCAATTATGACTGTCTCTGGAAAAAGGAAGGTGAAATTAGGGTTTATGAAGGAGAACGATTCACTTTTGAATGCATATCTTTTTGTACTATTCAAACTTTTAAAAAATATCATACATATTTATTACTAGAAAAAAAAAAAAAAAAGAATAAAGAGAAAAGAGTTGAGTGGCCAAATAAATAAGGCTGTACTGAATTATAACTCAAAGTATAAAACAAATATCCATGAGTCTATACTGATAGAAATAAATGACTGAAAAAATAAATGGATGGGCCGGCCCGGTGGCGCACTGCTACAGTGCGCCGCTTGGGAAGCGCGGCGGC